AAAATATAAATACATAAAACAAATATCAATGCAATTTTATATAAATAAAAGAAATCACCACCATGACCGCTGGTAACCCGAGCGTGATGTCACGCCAGCCTCCAACACGCGCCACCCGGCGTCAGCCAATGGGAGCACGGGGAAACCGGCCCCTGCCATGACAACGCTTCCTTCACTTCCGGGCTGAGAGCGACGGCCGGCGCGAGTCAGCGATCGCAATATACACCGACCCAGAAAAAAATAACAATCATCGCTCTGTATTTGCCGCGTCTAGCTCTTCTATAATACATTTTAAATAGGATGTTGTGAGTCTAACTGAATCAGCGGCGTCATCTTGGAAGAATAAGGTGAGTGTTTATTGTCTGTACGGGTCGTGTGGTGCAGATGCGCGCGGAGAACGTTGATTTACATGTGAAAGACACACATGCATATAGCAAAGCATCGTGCGTGTTATTACTCGGCTATGAAGAGGGTTTGCATGCTCTGAAACCTCGCAACCGGAGGATTGTAGGATATGGATGACATCGCATTAATCTCTTGATACTGATCATCATCTCTCAGGCCTCTTCTGCTCCCAGCCTGCAATGACCCACGCATTCATATACAAAATATTTTGTGCTTTTTAGCCATGATCATACACATCTCTCGTACTCCATACACCTGCATGCACACTAAGCACACAATCTCACATCAACAAACATGACATTTACACATTTCACACCCCATCAGCTTAGATTCTCTGTGTTATGGAAAGGCAGATGAGCATATTTTGTCATGAAGAAGATGTTTTGCTTAAATGAGGTCGCAGATGAGTGTGCTGGTGGCATGGGACTGCAGTTTGTTGTGGGTGATAGGGAAGATAGTGGGTTGACATGCTTTGAGATAATCCTGCTGGATTATGTGCTATCAGTTGAAGGCCAGCACTAAGAATAAGTATCTGCAAATGCAGTGTGTTTGAATGGTGACCATGCAGGTTAGGCACTAGATGACTGGACTTGAACTTGAAATTGTATGATAATGAGAAGGTTTCTTATGATAAGGCTTTAGCGGGCTAGACTTATGTATGTATGTTAATAGGAACATACATTTATTGACATTTTTCATCCATATGCATAGCATATTCATGTTATAAACACACCAATCATTGTCATTTCTTCAAGAGTAGCCTCCATCTATTCTTTTAGTTGCATCAAATCTTTGATACTCAACCGTGTTCTTCTGTGTCTTGACATTCTAATGAAGTCCAAAACACACTGGTGCTTAATAACGGCTCACAATCCACGATATTGCCACAATTGAAATGGATGCTTCAACCAGAAATGTAAAGGTTACTATTTAAGATGATTTTCTTTTCCATGCAATGAAAGTCAGTAAGTAAACACTGGTTGTCAAACTACCCCAAAACACAATTAAGTGTATATGAATGATGTGAGAGAGTGAATGGTGACAGTATTTTTGGGTGAACCATTAAGGAATAGTTCATCCACAAATATGAAAATTCTGTCATTTACTCACCCTCATGTTGTTCCAAACCCATAAGACTTTGGTGAATTAAGATATTTTTAATGAAACCTAAGAGCTTTCTTTCCCTCAATGGAAAGTCGAGGCACCAAAACATAAAAGATCCAAAAAGGTTATAAAGGCACCGTAAAACAAATCCATATGAACTGAGCATATGGTTTAATCCAAGTCTTGGGAAGCGATGTAATTGCTTTGTATGATAAACAGATTTAATTTAGGCTTTTATTTACATTCACATTTAGTCATTCAACAGATGCTTTTATCCAAAGCGACTTACAAATGAGGACAATAGAAGCACTCAAAACCAGCAAAAGGGCAATAATATGTAAGTGCTGTGAAGTCTCGGTTAGCCTAACGCAGTACACGTAGCAAGTTTTATTTTTAATAATAAATAAAAAGAAAACAAGTAGATAGAATAGAAAAAGAATAGGGAATGCTAGTGTTAGAGGGCCTTTTTTTTAATAAAACAAGTCGGCTCGTTTTTACAATGCCTTTATAACCTTTCTGGTTATAAAGAGAAATAAAGAATTTAAAAACTCTCAATTTGTGTGTTTGAATATTAATCAAAGTCTTGAGGGTTTGTGGTGACAAGAGGGTTCATTTTTTGGGAAAACTATCCCTGTAACGCTATAAATCATCATAAGCAAGATGCATTTAATGACATTTATTTCAGAAACACATTACAAGCAGAAAAAGATGCACCAAGCATGATTACAAAGAGATTTCAGTGTGATCTTCAGGTTTGTAGAGCGCGGAATGATGGTTTATGCTGCCACTGGAAACACGATTTACATACTTAAAATGCATCATAGATTGTGAGTGTTCGAGTATTCAGCAGTTCTTGAGTGTGAATTGATTTGCTCCTTCCCTATGGGCTGGATTCTTCATGATTGTCCCGGTACAGGAGTGCATGACTAATGTCCTCTATTCTCACACCCTGAGCACGAGGTGATGGACCAGCCGAACAGGTCCGAACACACCCTGGTTCTTCAAGTGGTGTATAAAGGGGATTATGGGTAATGAATGATGGGGCTCTGATTAGAATTCCTGGTAGGTGTGTCTGGAAGATATTCCTGTTCCTTCACTTCTGCAACCGTTGTCTGTGTTTTTGTGCGGGGGAGTTTGATCACAAGAGGAAAAAGGAAGAGAACACTTTCCAAAAACGTTTTGTTTTCACTTTAAGCCTCTGTTGTTAGTAGTTAAGTCCCCTTTACTGGTTCCTCCTCTCCGTGTTAAAGATGGCACATTTGTCACTGGCCTTTAGTGTGCTCAGTTATTCACACACAAAACATGTTGGTTCTTGCCTGTGTGAAACTCAACATCACAATGCTAGGCTGTTGAGTGGTCACCAGGGTGTTGCTATTTGGTATGCTCTGTGTTGTGGCAGACAGTGCAGGTGAGTTTGGATCAGGTTGCTCAGGAGAGATGATATTTAATACCTGAGTTTGGCTGAAGATCTTCACTACACTGACTGCTTCTCAGATGACCATCTAATAACTAACTACTGTGCCTCATTCAGACGCACTAGTCCATCACCAGTATTGGGCCTTATGAAATATGGATTGAAACCATTTAGAGTGAATGTACAGAGGATGATTACACATTTGTTAAACATATTTCAATGGTAGAAGTGGTTTGGCGTCACCTGGTTATGCCCATCCAGCATTTTGGAGTTGTAAATGTGGATTTAAGCTAAATATTTTGATGCATAAAAATACATTTTAGAATTTCTACACATCTATAAGGAGTCATTGGTTGCTAAATGATAACTGCTATTTTTATTCGGGTTTAGTGTCCACTACCCAATTAATTTTTGGGACCTCTGTATTTTTATATTGTACATGTTTAAGTTCTGAATTGGCCATTTTCCACCCTTTACTTACTCTGTCTACACGAGATATGTCTGGCACGGCAAATCACAACCTGTCAAAATGAAATCCCTCCCATTATAGTAAGCAATTATAATAATAAACAACTATACAGCTAGTATACAGCTATACTATACTTTGCTATTTTTAAAGTTCAGGATGCCCTCTTCAACCACTTCCTTTCCATCTGGAAATGATTTTGTTTAGAAATATTGCTTTTTTATGAATTGATAGCTATGTTTACCCCCCTATATTGGGGAAGTTGTGGCCTAATGGTTAGAGAGTCGGACTCGTAACCCAAGGTTGTGGGTTCGAGTCTCATACCGGCAGGGATTGTAGGTGGGGGGAGTGAATGTAGCTCTCTTCCACCTTCAGTACCACGACAGGTGCCCTTGAGCAAGGCACCGAACCCCCAACTGCTCCCCGGGCGCCGCAGCAAAAAATGGCTGCTCCAGGTGTGTGTTCACGGTGTATGTGTTTTCACTGCTGTGTGTGTGCACTTTGGATGGGATAAATGCAGAGCACTAATTCCGAGTATGGGTCACCATACTTGGCCACATGTCACGTCACTTCTATATATTTCACTATTGACTGATAAGTCATAGTGAGAATGAATGTTATGTTTCAAGTTTCTGGCCTACCAATTGAAATCATAATTTTGTAATTTCATAATAATACTACTGTTCCAAAGTTTGGGGTCAGTAAAATGTTTTTAAAATAATTAATACTTTAATTCAGCAAGGACACATTAAATTGATCAAAAATGACAGGGAAAAGACATTTGTAATGTTACTAAACATCATGTAATGTTACTCATTTTTAAAAATAAATGCTGTTCTTCAAACTTTCTGTTTGAATTCTAAATTCTAAAAAAAATAAGAAATGGATGCTTTGGATCCATGGAAAATAAGATGGATACTTTTTTTATGATTGACTAACCTCATTCTGTATATTTCACATGGTTGTCCATCAGAATATTTGTTGATAAGTGAATAGGCCTTTACATAGTGGTCAAACTCCTCATATGTGCTAATGCTTATGACACAACTGATTTCTGAACAACCTAGTTTTTGCAGCTTAGTTTCTATAAATGGTCTGTGTGGACTTGGGAGAGAGTTGTGAACGTTAGAGTCATGTCTTCATAATACACGTCTCTTTAGTTTGTGACATTCCTCTGACCGGAAAAGGTTTTCACGTCCATATGCAACTGGTCTCCAGGCGAATATGTCTGGGATTTTTTTGGGAGTCAGGGAATGTGCTATCTGTTATTGCTGCTCCATACTCAACCCTTTCACACAGCTTGAGGCCAACGACTTTACCATATGATGTTTATCACAGCAGCATTCTGCTTGCAATCCACTATCCACAAGTAGTTTAAGAAGTATTTTTCCTCACATAGAGGAATGTGAAAGAGTTTGTGTTGCAATATTGGAATTTCAGTAAGATAGTTCACCCAAAAATCATTAACTCACCCTCATGTTGTTGTAAACCTATATGACTTTTCTTCTGTGGAACATAAAAGAAGATTACGATACAATAAAAGTCAATGGGCTCAAATGTTGTCAGCTTCCCAACATTCTTCTAAATACCTTCTTTTGAGCTCATTTTTCTGTTTTTCAAATGTTCATGTAATCATTTCAGGGTCTCATTTGCTATCATTAAGTTGTATTATATATCGTATATTGGCATTTTATAGACCACCCTGCTTTCTAGAAATGCAAAGTGACCTGACCTGATAAACTTCTGACTGCCTCCAAACCTCTGTTGTGATGGAGTCTACAATTGAAGATTCAAGGAGAGCGCGTTTCTGCTGGGTAGATGATATTTGAGAATGTCTATATCCTGGATTTTCATTTTGACCTTCCTCTAAAGTATCAAAATCAAAGAAAAAAAGTCTGCAGCTTGTATTTTTTTCCCAAGAAAATGGGAAAAGGGTTGTTTCCTTCTTTGCTTTTTCTTGTACAAGAGTGTTGTGTTTATCTGTAAAACGTGCATCTTCCCAGAGGGGTTTAGGGGGGTTGCACTTGAGAATTATTGACCTATTTCCAACATTTAAGTTCAACACTGCTTATTCTATCATATGGGCCACTGGTATATCAGGTCAGTCTTTATTTTGGGATATCAGAAATTGGCCAAATATCCCTGTTTGTATTTCATGTTCTGGATATGCTCGTCCACCCCCCATCTCTCCCCTCCTCAACACACACATGTATTCATAAGCATATCCTCCTCTCAAACAGAACACTGTTTTAGTGTGAGCTTCATCCTTCCAGAGCAACAAAGCCTGTCTTGTTTGTCGTCTGAGCTCACGGCGTTCACTGTCTGCCAGCCATGCCCAGTTAAATCACAATGACCCTGTCAGAGACGGGTAGCGTAAGTTTGAGTCTAGATAGCATCATTTCCTAAACCTAAATCGGTCCGTGTTATTTCAACAACTGTTTTTAACAACAAAATTACTGGTAAAAACTACATTACCCATGATTCTGCAAAAAAAAAAAAATTCCACCAATGAGGGAACTGAAATGAGCAAATCACACCAAAGAACTCTTTAGCGCCCACTCACTCCCATGAAGCACAGTGAATGGTGTGAACACTCTTTGCTGCTTGTATTCCCCCACAGCTCATCCTTATTCCCAGGAGGCTTTGCACACCGTCATAGCAGGAAGCAAGAGTGGGAAAAAGAAATGGAACAGGAAGTTGCCCTCTTAGCCAGCAGGTTTGACAAAAGGCAGTAGTACGGCCAACAAGTACCATCTAGACCTTAAAACACTTCAAGAACGCAGAAGAACTCTGTAAGACCTTCAGAAGAAGAGGAATACTATCACATACTTGGAGGAAAGTAAAGAACAGCACAAAGTGAGTGGAGGACAATAGTCCAAGCTAAAGCTAGTGTGGTTCTGAGGGCAGTAAATCACTACCTTCTCTTTCTTTCTGTCTTCTCATCCTCCGATCTCTCGTTCCTCTCAGGATGAAGTTGAAGGAGGACATGTCTCCTCTCCTGCTGCAGGTCTTTCGATCAGTCGTCTGGGTTTATTCCGTCATCACGTTCCTGCCCTGGTACCTGCTCTCCGGAGCCAGCGAGAGGCAGGCCTGTGCTAAACGGGTCAAAGCGCGCTCTGTGAGTACAACAGTAGGAGTAATAGGCCCTAAACATTCATTCAGAACAGATTCATTTGACATACACTACTGTTCAAACGTTTGGGGTCAGTATGATTTTTTTAAAGAAGTCTCTGACTGCATTAAAGACTGCATTTATTTGATAATAAATAAAGTAAAATTGTGAAATATTATTACAATTTAAAACAACTGTTTTCTATTGTAATATATTTTAAAATGTATTTTTTTCATGTGACGCAAAGCTGAATTTTCAGCATCATTACTCCAGTCTTCAGTGTCACATGATCCTTCAGAAATCATTCTAATATGCTGATTTGCTGCTCAAGAAACATTTATTATTGTCAATGTTGAAAACAGTTGTGCTGCTTAATGTTTTTATGGAAACCACATTTTTTCACCACATAGTCCTAGAGAACAGCGTTTGTTTGAAGTACAAATATTTTGTAACAAATGTCTTTACTGCCACTTTTCAATTTAATGCACCATTACTTAATATAAAAGTAATATTTTAATAGAAAAAAAAAAATTGAACTGACCCCAAACTTTTTAACAGTAGAGCACATAATACATGCAAAATATGATAATTCAACTGCGATTTTCATAGTTTATTTTAGATTAATGGAGGGATTTGAGTCACGTTCATTACTGATCAACATCACTTAATAAAATTGCTGGTTAAAAAAACCATTGAGAGAAACAAATGTGATCAATCAGGTCACAAGTATGTTTGGATTTGGACTATTTCCCATCTTGCAATAGTGTTCCCTGACACATTTTTTCACCCTGTGCTTGTCACACATGTCCAGATCGTTCCCCATGACCTCATTCTGATCTCCTGTCCCGTCAGGTAAGCGGGAGTCCGGCAGGGTCATACCGGGCCGTGAACAGCCAGCAGAAATTGGTGTCCCTGCTGCATGAGGGTGTGGATACTTTGGATAAAGTATTTGAATACGCTGTAGTACACTTCCCTCAACGAGACTGCCTGGGCACTAGAGAGCTGCTGAGCGAGGAGGATGAGATACAGCCTAACGGCAAGGTCTTTAAAAAGGTGAGACACACACACACACACACACACACACACACAGACTCGTATTGTAACATACTCTCAAGGGCTTTGGAACTTTGTTCACACTGCAAGTGATACTGATTTATTGAATCCAGTCTGCAAATCTAAAAAGTGTTTTCAAATTGCAGTATATCCACATTAGTTGCTATATTATGTCAATGTCAAGAGACTTTCTTCTTAAATTACATAAAAAAGCAAGCTGTCAGTGGCTGTTTACATGCACAATTTTTGTTTCAGTCGGACTGAATTAATTCTGATTGATGAATCTGAATGTAGTGTTTACATGAACGCTAAATAAAGTGATCCAATGAAGTGTGCGTTTATGTCACAAGCTTCAAATCGGAATTGATTTTTTTGTGCACACTGCACAAACATAGAGAGTTTCCCACTGTGCGCATAATAACCATTTTCCTACACTGTTTCTTTATTTGCTTTAAACAGCAGAATTAATATTTATAATTTGATGACAATGAGCGTAGCTGCATTTATTTGATCAAAAATACTGTAATAATGAGAAATATTATGACAATTTAAAACAACTGTTTTCTGTTTTAATATATTTTAAAATATATAATTTATTCCTGTGATGCAAAGCTGAATTTTCAGCATCATTACTACAGTCTTCAGTGTCACATGATCCTTCAGAAATCATTCTAATATGCTGATTTGCAGCTCAAAAAACATTTCTTATTAACATGAATGAGTGCTGCTTAATTTTTGTGGAAACTAATATTTTTTTCAGGATTTTTTTTTTTTAAGTTATAAATGTATTTACTGTCACTTTTGACCAATTTAATGCGTCCTTAGTGGAAAAATTTATTAATTAATTTATTTTTCTTATCACCCCAAACCTTTAAACATTGTGTATGCCTAAAAACAGATTTAGGCTTTTTTATTGTTTAAAAAGACCCTTTTTTATACCCTCAGAAATGGTTTAAAACATATTTTTCTAAACGCATACTTAAACAATATTCAAGTATATATCGAGTCTGTCTAAGGCTAAGGGGCCAGATCCAGAGAGAACTCACTCACAAACTCTCTTGAACTTTCTTGAAAGTTCAGTGGCCGTCTCTCTGTAAACTGTTTTTATCTCTGGCCTGTTGTTGTCCAGAACTGTTTACATGAAACTGAAAAGAAGTTGCATGCTTATGTGAAAGCCGCTAGGAGTTTAAATACAATGCAGCTCTGCCTCTGTCTTTCTCTCTAGGTGATTCTGGGCGATTATAACTGGTTGTCGTATGAAGACACTTTCCATCTGTCTCAGAGGTTTGGTAGCGGGTTGGCTGCACTGGGCCAGAAGCCTCTTTGTAACATCGCCATTTTCTGCGAGACTCGTGCAGAATGGATCATAGCGGCGCAGGCTTGCTTCATGTACAACTTCCCCTGTGAGCAATTAAATCACAAACACAGAGTATTGTCTGCTGCATTATGCTGACTAGGAGAAAATGCCAGGCCAAAAATAGCAGCACTGCTGTAGTACTAGATGAAAGACTACATCACACTGAAGAATTGAGAACTGTTCGATTCAAGCACACACACATGCATGCTGCAGGAAATCTGATTCACAACGTCTCTGGTTTCATCACAGTTCACATGTTAACAGTGAATTTGAATTAGTGCATCTCACTATGATGTGTATCTATAATTTAAAAGATGAATATAGTATGCCAAAGGTATCTGGATAGTTTTTTTGTTTTGTTTATTGTCCGTCTGTGATCTGTGCATGCTTTTTTAGACTGATATTACCCTCTTGGGAATTACAGAAGAGAAGGTGAACAACAGTAATTTTACTGTTACTGAAAATAAAGTGATTATTATTGTTATTATCAAATACTTGGCTTTTTATTTTACAGTGTAATTTGATTGAATTTGTAGTATATTTCTTTCTTTCTTTTATTGATCTTAATTTTAACATTTAAATAATAATAAAAAATATTATTAATCATTTATTTTTATTATATAGTCATATTAAATTAATACTCTTACTGTACATATTGAAACTTTATTTATTATTAAATACTTTTTATTTTACAATACAAATATAAAGAAATAGCAATATATGTATTTATATGTTTTTTAATTGAAATCATAATAATAATAATAACTTATTATTATTATTATTTAAAGAATTCAGGGTTTCTTGATGTTATTAAATACTCAGCTTTTTATTTTACAGTTCAATTTTATTGAAATAGTAATTGTTTATTGATTTGTTTAGGTTTTAACATTTAAATAAAATAATAATAATATATCATTATTATTATTGTCATTATTATTATTAAATTATCTACTTTATTTTACAGTACAGTTTAATTGAAATAGTAATATTTTTATTGATTTGTTTTTATTTAAATGAAAAATATTTATAATATTATTATTATTACACTGTTATTCATTATATGAATACTGCCTTACTGCATATTCAAACTATAGCCTTTAGTGAAGTACATACCTTATGTAGAAATATGAACATTTGTGTGTAGCCTCTGCCTCTGTCTCTTACTCTCTCTGTCACTCTTTGATATTTAAAGGCACAGTTATAAATCAAAATCTAAATGATTTTCTTTCTCTTGGTCTCAGTGGTGACTCTATACTCTACATTGGGAGGAGCAGCTATAGCTCATGGGCTAAATGAGACTGAGGTTACACACATCATCACGAGCAAAGACCTGCTGCAGAGCCGCCTCAAGGTGAAAACACCACACACTCCATATATACCGTATAAGACGTATGACACGCCAGTGGGCTCATCAACGATCAAGAGCTGCTGTCACTCATGCTCTCAATCACACTCTCTCTCAGGCCATTCTGATGGATGTGCCCAGACTGAAGCACATTATAGTGGTTGATAAGAAGCCCAAGAGTTTGCCTGATCTCCCCAGAGGCATCATGGTTCACAACGTGGCTGCTGTGCAAGAACTGGGAGCCAAACCTGAAAATAGTAAGTCTCAAGTGGCATGCTACTTTGTTTGAAATGTTTATATGCATACTGTTATATTTGCATGATGCATATGGTTTCACATACTACTTTTAGTTTATAGCATATACCAAACAGTCCAAACATAGCCTCGGGTTCCCAAAAACAGATGGGCTCTTGCTTGTTGACGATAAAAACAGCATCTTTTGTTATGTTTTGAAGTGTACTAACACAATAATGACCGAAAGAGCTGTAAACATAGTTTGTTGGGAAAGAAAGACAGCAGGATCTTCTAAGACTTTTGAGGGCATGCGGACTGGTGTTGAGAGCCCACACGCTCAGCCTTTGTGTCAGATAAGAGCAAGTGTTCAGAAAAGCCCTTTGGAGATAAGAGAGGGAGATGTTATCATTATTAGTGCAGGGTTTCTCTGTTCAAAAAGACTGAGATAAGAGGTTTAGACATTTCACTGGAGCATTAGACCTTTGTCTAATGAGCAATGCTGAACTCATACGTCATCAGCCCGGAGCTGCTTCCGGTTACAACAGTGAGCGCAAGCTACATTAAAGTGATTATTACGTTTTGAATATGGATATTTTTCTTACAAAAACGCATCGATTCGCTACAGGAGGCCTTTGTTCACCCCCCGTGTGAGCCGTGTGAGACACTTTTTTTTATGGATGGGCGCTTTTTATTTAACTTCTTTTGGACTGATGCATGCAACACCCGCTGAGTGGCATTAAACAGCTTGAAAGATCAAAGACAATTTTTAATATAACTCCGACTGGATTCGTCTGAAAGAAGAAAGTCATATACACCTAGGATGACTTGAGGGTGAGTAATTTATGGGCTAATTTTCATTTTTGGGTGAACGAACCCTTTAATTGTTAATATTAACAATATGTTAAATATTAATTCATATTTATTTATTTTAATTGATGTGATTTTAAACATAAATTATTTTTAATAATTCAACAAAGATGAAGGATTTCACAGCTTTTTGTTTATTACTGGTGCCGGTGGTTTAATTTACATTAGCCTGGGCAGATTTATGACATTTATTTTGGATTAAAAGGTTCATGCAGTGCAAAAAATCTTGGCAAAGTTGTCTATTAAAAAAAGTTTGTTTTTCCTCCTTCAAAATAGTTATTTTAGAGCACTTCTGTCTGGAACGGCACAACAACATGGCTGCCTGCCACTAATGAAGGGCTGTGAATGTGTGTTTCTCTGTGCAGTAATGGTGTCCCGCAGACAGCCTGTCCCGTCTGATATCGCAGTGATCATGTACACCAGCGGCTCTACAGGCATTCCTAAAGGAGTCATGATCTCCCATAGCAACATCATCGCTGGCATCACTGGCATGGCTGAACGCATTCCTAACCTGAAGTAAGTTTCTCTGACACACGCTCCTCTCTCACTGTCTGCATTCATCGGTCTCTCTATCACTCTATCTGTCTCTCTTTTTTCATATTTTCCAGCATGATTCTGTCTATCCATGGATTTTTAGTTGTTAAATAGCTAATCTCCATTAATCTCCATTTTTTTATTGGCAGTACTTCATTTTATGGCTGAATAATAAATTAGCATGTACTACTAATTAAGGTTTTAAAGCAGAATGCTGGTCACGGCAATATATGGAAGTCCGTTTCCTCCACTGAATAAAAAATTAAAAAAAGGTAATTGCAACTTTTTATACATTTTGACTTTTTTTCCTCAATTTTTTTTTTCTCAGAATTGTGATTTGTAAACTCACAATTTTAAGTTATAGTCAAAATTGCAAGATATAAACTCGCAATTCTGAGGAAAAAAAGTCACAATTGCAGGATATAAACTCGCAATTTTGAGAAAAACATCACAATTGCAAGATAAAAACTCGCAATTCTGAGAAAAAAGTCAGAATTGTGAGTTTATATCTCGGAATTCTGACCTTCTCAGAATTGCGAATTTAAATCTTGCAATTGTGACTTTTTTCTCAAAATTGCGAGTTTATATCTTGCAATTGTGACTTTTTTCTTGCAATTGCGATTTTATATCACACAGTACTGACTTTATAACTCGAAACGGAGAGTTTATATCTCACAATTCTGAGAAAAAAAGTCAGAAACTTTGCATCACACAATGGTGAGAAAAAAGTCAGAATTGTGAGAAAAATTCGCAATTACCTTTACCTTTATTCAGTGGCGGAAATGGGCTTCTATAGCAATATTAATTGTTAATCAAAAAATAAGTTACCTAGGAAGCAAACCTGTTTGAGGTTTTTGTTTGTTTTTTTTGAAAGAAATGTCTATAAGAATGTGATGACTAAAGTTGAAGAGATGAGCAGTGTGCAGAAAACTCTCTTTGTTCTGGCGTACAACTACAAGATGGAGCAGATCTCCAAAGGATACAGCACGCCACTCTGTGACAGGTATAATGAATGCTGCTTATAATATTAGCAAAATGATTATCTATAAGAATGTGATGACTAAAGTTGAAGAGATGAGCAGTGTGCAGAAAACTCTCTTTGTTCTGGCATACAACTACAAGATGGAGCAGATCTCCAAAGGATACAGCACGCCACTCTGTGACAGGTATAATGAACGCTGCTTATAATATTAGCAAAATGATTTCATCTAAAACTCCGTTCTGCCGTTCTGTTTTCTCTGTTATAACTCTAATGTATAATTGCATCTTGTTCTGCAGGCTTGTGTTCAAGAAGGTTCGCTCGTTGCTGGGCGGTAGCATGCGTGTACTGTTGTCTGGCGGAGCTCCTTTATCTGCAGCTACTCAGCGTTTTATGAATATCTGCTTCTGCTGTCCTGTGGGACAGGGTTACGGCCTGACAGAAACCTGCGGAGCCGGGACCATCAGCGATTGTAAGCCTGAGATTCACTGAGCCAGGCGGTTGGAGTGAACCTAGGAGCAGCATTTTATTATAAAATAAAACTAAAATGAAATGATTCAGTCTATCCTTGGATTTTGGATTTTTAGTTATTAAATAGCTAATCTCCATTCATCTCCATTGCTTTATTAGCAGTGCTTCATGACTGAATAATAAATGTCATAAATGCCCAAGTTAATTTATCCATGAACCTGACTTTATGGTAATGTACACCAGTGTTTAAAGGTGCTTTTCTTTTGTTTCGTTTTTTTTTTTAAAGAAATTGAAAAAATATTAAGTAGCACAAATATTTTCAGCAAGAATGATTTCTGAGGATCATGTGACACTGGAGTAATGGCTGTTGAAAATTAAGCTTTGCATCACAGGAAACTACATTTTAAAATATATTGAAATAGAAAGTAGTTATTGTAAATTGTAATAATATTTCACTGTATTACTTTTTTTTTTTCTACAAGACCAGTGCTTTTATTGTAAAATAAAATTAAAACTATCTTTTCAGTTATAGAAATAAGGCTGAAAAATATAACATTAAATATTTAAAATATAAAAATATTTGATGAAAAAACAACTAAAATAATTTAGTAGTAATAGTACTAAAAACTGAAATTAAAAAAAAAAAAAGCCAAAGAGAAATATTGAATAACTAATTAAAATGACAAGAACATAACATTTACTAAAACTTAAAACAAACATTTTAAATTGAAAATATAAAAATAAAATGCAATTCAAGCTATTAATAAAAACTATAGTTGTATATAAATAATACTAACGCTGGTTAGGACTCATGACTAAAAGTACAGTATGTTACTTGTCCAGGAATGTGCAGGAAAGTCAATTATGTGAGTTCTAGAATTAAAAGGTACTTTTAATCAGGTCAGTACTTCAAATTGAGGGTGTGTATTCTAGTATATAATTAGTTTTTAATAATTTAGTACATTTAATATTTTTTTACATATGTCATTATCATGTTCTGCTCTGAAATATTTCTTTGGCTAGAAATTGCTCTTTGAGTGCAGTCTTTTTAAAATAATTTTTAAATCCTTATCCAGCAATCACAAACGACTAGGGAAAAGTAATGGGAATTTATGGGTCAACAGGTATGGGGACCTTGGGATTAATATATATCAAATCAGTGATGAGAGGTCTTGAATAAAACCTGGGATAATATGCTGGGTTAATCCGAAAATTCATGCGATTACTGCAGTAATAATAGGAAATGGAGGGGAAAATACAGTTAGAATTTAAAGAAAATTATAAAAACCACACCTTCAAATCAAGTGACATTAAATGAATGCTTCTGAATAAATGAATGTGTTAAATTGCGCTAATACTGTGTATGTTTGTCTAGTGGCTGATTACAGCACTGGACGTGTTGGAGCTCCTCTGGTGTGTTCAGAGATCATGCTAAAGGACTGGGTGGAAGGCGAGTTCAGCTTTTTTACTATCAACAATTATGTTGATGTTCATTGGCTGCTATTGGTTTTTCATTTTTAAAGTATGATGAGAATTTAAATATTAAATAATGTCCTTTTTTTTTTTTTTGGCCATAGGTGGCTATTTCAGCACAGATAAACCAAACCCACGAGGAGAGATTCTGATTGGTGGTCCCAACGTCACCATGGGTTACTATAAAAATGAGCAGAAGAACCGAGAGGATTTCTTTGTGGATGTGAACGGCCAGCGCTGGTTCTGCACCGGGGATATCGGAGAATTTCACTCTGATGGCTGCCTCAAGATTATCGGTGTGGAGAGACACCGATACACACAAACGTTAACAAAATATCAGAGCTATCTAAAAGGATACTTCACCCAAAAATGAAAATTCTGTCGTCATTTCCGCAGCCTCCACTTGTTCCAAACCTGTATGAGTTTCTTTCTTCTGTTGAACACAAAAGAAGAAATTTTTAACCAAAAAGTTGACGGTAGTCATTGACTTCAATAGTATTTTTTTCCATACTGTGGAAGTCAATGGCTGCCATGAGTTGTTACATACAGGTTTGGAACTACTTGATGGTGATTAAATGATGACACGATTGTATCTATTCACGAACAGCTTGTAACACTCCAAAGAGAAAGGAAAACTTGAAATCGCATCATATGACCCTTTTAAGTGTTATCATAGTCATTTCTATCTAAGTTCCTCTAACTGGTTGTGGCATGTGTGTGTAGATCGTAAGAAGGACCTGGTGAAGTTACAGGCTGGTGAATATGTGTCTTTGGGCAAAGTGGAGGCTGTGCTCAAAAACTGCCCACTCATTGACAACATCTGCGCTTATGCCAACAGGTGAGTGCAAATACACACGGGCACACAAGAAACATGCATTCATAAATGTTGTATTGTGTTTTAGCTGAGATGTATAAATCTTTCCTTCTCTTTACACAGTGAGGAGTCTTATGTGATTGGGTTTGTGGTGCCCAATCAGAAACAGTTAACTGCCCTTGCAGAGCAGAAGGGCATCAGAGGATCATGGGAAGAGATCTGCAACCATGCAGAGATGGAGAAAGAGGTTCTATGTATCATCACAGACGCGGCTATAACAGGTCTGTCAACAGAGGGCAAACTAACAATTGTCTCCGTTTTTTTTTTATGAGTTGGAATTTATAATTGGCCACAGCTTTTATGGATGCTGAATTGGATTGATGGGAAGATTTCTGAATTGCAGTGCCAATGCCAAACTTGTTTACTGTATCACTGTTTTGCATCTTTTTACTTAGTAAAAAGTAACCATACTGGATGTTTACTTACCATCTGAAAATCTGACGATATGTAGATTTTTACAATACATCTTACAATATAAATCTTAGAATAACTAGAATTTTTGAAAGAAATTAAAACTTTTATTCAGCAAGAATGCATTAAATTGATCAAGTTGATTCGATTTCAAATAAATCCTGTTATTTTGAACTTCAAAAATATTGAAAAATGTATCAAGGTTTCCACAAAAAAAATATTATGTAAAACAACTGTTTTCAACATGGATAATAATCAGAAATGTTTCTTGACCAGCAAATCAGTATCTTAGAATGATTTCTGAAGGATCATGTGACGCTGAAGACTGGAGTAATGATGCTGAAAATTCAGCTTTGCCATCACAGGAATAAATTACACTTTAAAATATATTACAATAGAAAAGAGTTATTTTAAATTGTAATAATATTTCACAATATTACGGTTTTTACTGTATTTTTAATCAAATAAATGCGGTCTTGGTGAGCTTAAGAGACCTCTCAAAACTGTCCTCTCTTTCTCAAGTATTGTTGGAAAGTCTAATTCATTTGGATGAATTGGCTTGTTTAGGCAGTTCATTTCACTGATACAGTTCCAATAAAAATTCATTCACTTTAAATGTAACTCAAAACCTTTGGCAAAAGACCATGCACAGCATTTTACCTAATCTTTTTAAAGCTTCTTGCTATATATACTTGTAGCTTAGCGAGCTACAGTTCCCAAAACCATAAGGCTCTGAATGTTAAATACAATCTCTGTTTTGATTCACAGGTAAACTGGAACGCTTTGAGATCCCAAAGAAAATCCGTCTGAGCGCCGAACCCTGGACGCCCGAGACAGGCCTGGTTACTGACGCCTTCAAACTCAAACGCAAGGAACTAAAAACGCACTATCAGGACGATATCGAGAGGATGTACGGCGGCAAGTGAATGAAGCCAGGCGGTGTTATGTGGTGGTGGGGAGGGAGGGGGTTTTAGGACACACCATATACCACAATGCCTATATACGAAAAAAACCATCCCACAATTCTCTGCCTTCCTGCTCCATGTGATGCTCTGCAATCAAAACAGGGACACACTTGAATTTTCGTTCAGTTATGGTTTGATGAGAGGGAAAGGAACGACAGCAAATGCCACCTGCTGCAGCAGGTACTAAATAACACACTTTTTTTTCTCAGATGATTCACGAGAGTGAATCCTGAAAGACAGAAAACACAACCTACAGACTGTGAGACTTTTGGACCCCACCCACTTGCTTCTCTCTCATTGGCTCTTTTTGATAGGCACGCCCCCTCACCCCACCCTCACATTGTTCTGCAGGCAGATTGATGCGCTTGATGATTCCACCCTACTGCGAAGCGGTCACACTGAATTCTCATCAAGAGTCTATGCAGGGAAACGTTTTGTAATTTGGCTGTATTTTTTTGTTGCTTATTTCTTTCGTTCGGACCTTTGTTTTTTCAGAGACTTGTTTTGGTCTGAAACAGCTGCCAGATTTGGATATGTATGGAATGCTTCTCTAACTGTTACAATGTTACTTTTTCTGGAACTTTGGCGTTTGTACTTGACATTTTGTTACTTTGAACTTCGGCTTCTGTTGTTTACCTGTATCCAAAGGCTGTTTCTGTTGCCCTGAGTGAAATGAACAATGTATTTCAGGTACTAGTGCACACTGAGGACTGTGTACCTAGAAAGAAACCAGAAAAGCCTAACAATCCAGACCAATAGAGACAATCCGTGTATCATTCGATCATTCGTTTTTTTATTTAATATTGAAAGTAGAAAAATGAGAAAACGGTTCCTTTTTCGTTTTTTTGTTTTTTTCCGAAAAACGAGAATTCAGCTTAAATTTTCGTTTTTCGTTCATGGGTGGAAAATTTAATAAACAGCTTGAATATTCGATTTCTACTTGTGGAATTAAACGCCCCTTTCTGCTGCTACTTTCAATATTAAATCAAAAAACGAATGATCGAATGATACACGGATTAGAGACCAGTATTGCACCAGATATCTGTTCTAATGTAACAAAAGCAGTTGTAATTCTGCACCAAAGCTGTTACGGAGAGAAGTCTTAAGCCAGAGACGTGCTCTAATACTACAGAATGCTTCTACTGATGTTGCAGAAAGTTTTTTGGTTTTTTTTTGTCAGGGCAACTTTAACAATAATCCTATTTCACAGACAGGCTCCAAATTGTGCATTTCTATGTCAGCGAGTTGGCGTCAGGTCTGCATCTGAAAGATTCACTCCTCGTTCCTCTCTGCTCTCCCACATTCCTTTACTCGCATCTACAGGGTTTGCCTAAGAATCATATGGGATGTATTACTCCATACTTACAGTGTATATTTCTTTGAGCACTGTTTTTGTCTGAATTTGTTAAGCCTTTAAACTTATTCCTTTCTAAAATGTCTTGTGATCATATTATGTCAGCCACTGTGTTGCATGGATGTTTTGCAAGGGAGCCAAGTGTTGCCATGGAGTAGTTTGGGTACCTATAAATGGCCATTTTTTTATTATATTGTGATATTGTCATTGTAGGAAACGATTAGTGACTTCAACAAAGAGGAAAAGTATGAATTTGAATGTGCAATAGACTTATGTATTCTGAGATACAACAAATGATACGCACAGTCCGGTCCCAAGAGCATGAATGTCTCCAGCCTCTTCGATGTAACGGAAGAGACACATTTATTCTGCTTCAGACTGTGCAGATCACTTACATCATTCGACAACTGATGCATTATGATTCGCATTTGGCTTTGCATGATTCAGGAGTTGTAAACCAAACAAATAAGCTTCGAATAAGAACATATTGTATCGCGGACATTAATAAATGTGGCATTTGCAAAATCGGGGCAAATGTTTCTAAATCTGTACATTTATTCATTATTTATGTGAAAAATGTAGATTTTTCAGCACTTAACATTTTCAAGACGAAAAGGTCAGAAATTTTTTTTTTATGTTTTCTTGATTGCTTTAGAATAATCTTTGGTTCTAGAAACACTCCAGCTTTGCCGTCACAACATGATGCTCTTTACTGAAAGTACTTTGTTTGTGTTTTATTATTATTTTGGTTTGTGTCCTAAAAAGGAACTGAAGGCAAATGGTGTTCCTAAACTAGACAAGTCTGCCTTTCCTGTGCTCAATGGAGGATGTTGATTGCCTTTTTTACACAGTGGAAATTAAAAGTGGTTTATAGGAAATTATACTTTTGATCATTTATTTCTGTCTTTGAATTCAGGGAGTGACACATCCCCTCTTAGTGCTGCTGTACTGCTCACCTTGATTGTGCTTCATTTACATCCTGCGATGTCATTTGTTCCAGCCACAAGCATCTGGCCAATCAGCTGTTAGTCTAGAGAGAGCTCCACTTTATTCCCGATTTTCTGAGCCGAACTGTAATCTGATTGGTGTATTCACCTTTCAGTCACGTCCTTGGCAACAGCTAACCGAATTTAATGACAGAGTTCGGCCTCTTGCACGCTTACGCCATCAACATATCTGTTTAACCGTATCCTACTTTATGTTCTTGGTGTCCTTGATGTTTAATGGCTACACACAGGCCTATTAAGCATTCTAGACACACAAAGAGGATGTTTGGTGGATTAATTCTCTCTACTTCTGTTACCCGCTCTGTAAATATGACTTTTATGTCAGAAATTCATAAAGGTAGTTGCATTTAGTAGATGTACAAATGTAATATCTTCATTAAATATGTTTAATCTTTGTTACTGACCAGGTTTGGGGTATTTTCTCCTTTGTGTGAGTGGTTACTGTCTTACCACAAGCAGGTAAAAGCAAACAACTCCATTATTTATTTGTAATTTGGCCTTGAAACTATGTTATAAGGAATAAAGTTTTGTGAATTACAAGGGGATTTTTGAGTATTATTTATCTGTGCCTTTATTTTCAGAAAAGTTTCGGAAAACTACTGCTTTGGTAAATAAGGGACTTTATAAGGTTTTTCTTTTCAGAATAGTGCTCAAATGTTCATATTTATGATTTAAAATAATTGTATTTTATATAATTTATGTATATTTATATGAAGCTGTATATATATAAATTAAGACTGGGTCAAAACAGCCCAATTGCTGGGTTTGTCCCTATTTTACCCAGCACTGGGTTGTATTTAACCCAGCATTTTTTAGAGTGTAAAGTATTTTAATGTAATATTATTTAGTTTAATATTAAAGTGGCTCTCATAACTGTTATTCACCAGTAGATGTCAGCATCAGATAATTTACCCTAGAGAGAATCACACTGAAGTCTACTGTACCTTTACACTCTAAAAAACTTAAACATTTAATTGAAAAATTTAACCCAACAGCTGGGTTAGTCCATATTTGACCCAAAGTTAGGTTGAAATAACCCAGCATTTTTTAGAGTGTACCTTTACATTTAGTCATTTAGCAGACGCTTTTATCCAGACAAATGAGGACAATGGAAGCAATCAAAATCAACAAAACATCAATGATATACAAGTGCTATAACAAGTCTCAGTTAGCTTAACGCAGTACATGTAGCAAGGGTTTTTTAAATAATATAATAAATAAAAAGAAAACAGATAGAATAGAAAAGGAATAGAGCAAGCTAGTGTTAGAGGTCTTTTTTGCTTTTGTTAATTGTATAATAAATGAAAAGAAAACAGATAGAATACAAAAAGATTAGAAACCAAGTGTTCGTTTTTTTTTGTTTTTTTTTAAGAAAACAAGCAGCAAATGAATAGAGCCACAAGTCTAAAAGGGACAAGTGTTTTTTTTTAAGAATAGAATTAGAATAGAGAGTGCTAGAGTTAGAGGGTCAAATAAAGATGACATTACAACCTTTAGCATTGTAACGTCAAATAATATTAATTATTAATTTAATCTAATAATATGCTTGAATGTTCCTTATAATTGCTTGGAAGACTAGCCCTTGATGACTTAAATTTTTATTTTTTAGTTTTATGTAAACATTACTACAAGCAATATTACCGAAGATCTGCCATATTCTAGAGTTAAAGTTAACATAAAAATTTAATTTATTCCATTTACTTTGCAATGTCAAATAATTATTATTATTATTTTAATATAATAATATGCTTGAACGTTCCTTATTACAACTCGGAAGACTAGCCCTTGATTAATTACATTTTTAGGTTTTATTTTTTTTTTTATGTACAAATTTTTTACAAGCAATATTTTCTGAAGATTTGCCATATTCTAGAGTTAAAGTTAACATAAAAATCTAAATTTATTCCATTTACTTTATTTACTTTAATATCCTGTTCCCCTCATAAATATATATCATTTGCAAAAGGCAATTTAATTACAACTAATTGTAAAGTTCCTTTTTTTTTTTTTTTACAAATCTCAATTTTCTATCAGAATTGTGCAAATGCAAGAGTGAAGACATTTTGAATACATTTTCCTATATAAAGCATGTCTCATTGACCTTACTCCATTGACGTCAGAGTTTTGCATTTTTGTGTGGTATATGATGTGCGGTATATCAGTGCTCGGCAGATTGCCATTTCAAAGCACGCCTTTACAAGACTAGAGTCAACTAAACAAGTCAGTCCTTAAGACAAGTATCGGTGTCCATGGAAACCAAGGCCATAAGCCGGCAGCGACTGTCTTTTATAAAGATCATCAGGAGGTGGAGATGGAAGGAGACAAAGACATTCTTAGAAACTTGGTGATAAGTCAGTGCAGCTTTGTGAAAGAAAGGACAGTCTGTGAATGGCATTATAGAAGATGTGATGGAAACATCAAATCAAACATTGTTCTTTTAATTAATGAGTCAAGCGCTGCACACAGCTGTGGATCAGGAACAGATTCCTACAAAATGACTCCGTGCATCGTTCATACCACATCAAACCCACAAATAAACCATATATTGTCGCAATCGTACGTTTAATGTCTTCATGTTTCCAAACGTTTCTGTTTTTCTGTGAAAACAACTGTTCATACAGCGATAGCTGGACGCTTCTTTCCATTTCCTCGTACGACTTTCTGCGCGAGAGCATTAAAAGTGAGGGGGACACGTCCCCCGCGTCCCCCGCGTAATCTACGCCCCTGAACCTCACATACTGCTATCACAAATAAATACTGTGAAAGATGGACGGACGGAGGAGGATAGAT